TTACCGTTTAAAGTTTATAGTCACCGATGCGCGTATATGACGATGTGATCAATGATATTTAGTAGCAGTAGAGCTCCTTGTGAAAGAGTTCGTCCAGGGAAGCACTGTCATCGTGCCTATTTCTGCCGCTAAGCATTAACGTGAAGCATAACTGGTAAAAATATGTCTCAGGGTGACAGACGCAGTGGCAGTGCCTCACAGATCATTGCGTTTTAAAGCTCTGACCAGCACTGAAACTGTTATGGATAGGCGTATGGCTTACCACCAGTTTATCTTATCACTTAAAATCATAAAAAAATAGACTATAATAGTACACTGCTTTACGGATAATGGCCTGATATTTTATAAGAAAAAAGCAGCTTATGTGAAATTTATATTATGTAATGTTCTATTATTTATAGAAACTTACATACATCTTAGATAAAAACGAAAAATCTAACCTTACAGATACTGTTCTATTTTTCGGTTTTACTTATATATAGTACTTTAAATCTAAATTGCAATAGCGTCCACATAATAATTACAGTCGTCACCATTGACCTACCAAGTCTTCACGATCTAATACGGCCGTTTTGATACCTGTCATCGCAACACAAGTGATGTGAATCAATAAACCAAATAGCTTCTTAATTTTATGACTCGTCGAATGTTGAGTTTATTTTTCAGGTTCATTGGTTTTAAATTGTAGATAGAATAATTAACATTTATTTAAGTATTATAAAGTTTAATAATATAATAAGTACAAAAGGAAAGCCTAGTAAGAATCTTTTGCGGGCTGTTTTAGTGCCTTCAGTTGTTTTAATGTCCCACGCACCGGGTCGAAACAATATCTATGTTCGATCTTTGTATTAATAATCATAACAGATTTTTGCATAGTCTCAACATTTACAATATTTATTGTATATGGGTTATTTTCAGGTAAGTCTTTAGTACTCAATTTTGGTGAGTACAAAAACTTACCAGAAAATTACTGATATTAATAATTATTTTTAATCATAAGTACATGTACATGTGTTACCTTGTAAGGACGTTTGCAATTTGAGTGCCGCTATTCTAGTTTTAAATTATTTATTTATTGCATAGTACACTACCAACATTTACTATATTGATTTCATATAGTAAATAAATTATTATTTATTAGTGATAACTTATAACTAATAATTTATCACTAATAATTTATCACTGATAAGCTAGACTCCTTAAAATACTATTTTGTTGGTTGTCGAATATATAATTCATAATTCATTTATTTATTGCAGTCATGAGGTTGATAAAGTGTACATTTTAAAAAATGCAGTACCTAGACATGAACTATGGTAGGGTACCGTAACATAATAAGCATTTATATTATTTATTCTAAACAAAAAACAAAAAATCTAATATAAAACTCAATGAACAAAATCAAACTAAGATTAAACATTGAAATGAAATTAAATTGAAATTTTTACACTTTACTACTACATTATCGAATATTAATTACATTTTATGTATTCACATTTTTACTTAATTTGTTGTTGTCCTTTGTTTAAACAAACCATTTTGTTATAAAACTCTTGCAACGAATTGAAGCATTTTAATATTACAAATTGTTTTAATACATGTTTTCGGTATTTATATGTTCTGGTATTTTATTATAAGTTTTTATTTTTAAAGGGACTAGTGTGTATTAAATTTATTTTGAAGTTGAGGTGGGCTAATCCTTGACGTGGACGTAAAGGTATATCGTAACGTGGTAACAAGCTTATGTTTTTTGACAAAAATACTTATTTCTAACATATACAAGGAATATAATGTTGTAATAAACGTTAACTACCTGCTCGTGATCACTCACTCGCTCGACAACCAATCTTAATGCTTTTCTATCGTTACTTTGTCACTAAAATTTAATTGTACCTACTATGTATTATATTTGTCTCCGCTCTATTTTTGAAGTATGAACAATTTTTCTTAATTTTTTTGTTTTATATATTATGATGAACACGCTTGTTTGTCACATGCAACATGATGTACCTACATATCCTTTTCTTATTTTCCTCCAAGCCATACCAGCACAACGCAGTAAAAGTTTACAATCTTTAAGAATATATTACAATTAGGGAGGAAATTCCGAAGATGGCGGGGCGAGTGTAAACAGGTCACAAGCCAGACTGGAGCGCCGCCAAATGTGGAAGAGGCCATGTGTGTCCCGAGTCCCGACATTTAATTCGGATGCCACACAAAACGGATTTAATTCTCTTTGTAAATACTTGAAATCTCCTGTTTACATTTACACGCAAAAAGCGTACACAATTTAGTTAAAAAAACTAATCATTTTAATAAATGTATTCACATATGTAACTCTACTCCACATACTTCTTTCTCGTTAGTGATGAAACAGATAATCATATTTTACAAAATAATCCGTAATCACTAAGCTTATACGAAAAGAACTTTGAAATCTCTAAATTTACATAGTTCAGTAATTTCAAACATATTTTTTCGTTTAAAACATTTTTTCATTTAAAATAAAAATAAACAAATCTCTCAAAGACGTTTGTTACATTGAAACATTGTAAAAAATTACATGCTAAGTTCCATAGCGTTATCATTGTGTTTATTCTAAGGCAATACATTCTTGGTGGCAAGACAAGTAAAATAGAGCTCCTTGTGAAAGTGTTCGTCCAGGGTAGTGCTTACCTGTTTCTGCCGCCAAGCAGTAATGTCAGCATTACTGTGTTCCGGTTGTGAAGGGTAAGGGTGCTGATGAAATTACAGGTACATGGGACTTGTCAACTTATGTGTCAGGGTGACGGGCGCAGTGGTAGTGCCCCTTAGATCTTTGCAATTTAAGGCTTTGAGTTGTACTGTAACTGTTATGGACAGGCGTGTAGCTCAGAATCAAGCGCACGACTTGTTCGTCCCGTCACTTGATGTTATAAAAAAAAGAGTCCTTTGATCCTCGGACCAAAGCTAGCTTCGGTGAACAAGGGATCATTTCATGATCAATCCAAACCTTAAGAATTATAACTATTTTTGCAGTTAAAGCTGAACGGAATTCTAATTATTGCCTACTTTCGTTACATGCGTAAATACTCTATCTCTAACAAATATCCTTGCATAAATTTTTCGTATTGTGGTAAGTAATTAGCATTCTTCCGTTTTGAAAAACGTCTTTCAAAACGGAATTAATGAAATTTGAAAACATTAATGATTAAAACAAAACAAGAGTTTTCGTGCTATTGGTATAAACTTACCTGGTAATAAACAAATAGGGTAGGAATAATGAGGTACAAAGACTGTAAGGTGAACTAAGGTGCACGCTAGTCGATGTCTGATACATTATGTATAAGCACAATGCTACCTGACTTTCAAACAAATGTAACGCGGGTACAAGACAATCAATACAAGTACCAGAGCTTTGTTACATGTTCGGATCTTAGGCAAACGTTATCGGTGTGCCTACATAACTGAGTCAAAACATTTTTGATACTTCTAATTTAAGTAATACTGTTTTGTTTTTGTGTGTATACTGCACTTACAAAATTTAGAAAAATGGAATCATCATCGTTATTATTATTAGTAGCAGTAGAATACCTTGTGAGAGTGTTCGTCCAGGGAAGTACTCCCACCTTACGTACTTCTGCCATGATGTGAGCATTAAGTTTCCTGTTTTGAAGGGCTAAGGGTACTGGTAATATTACAGGCACATGGGACTTGACAGGCTCAGTTACCCTCAGGTATTTACGATTTCAAGCTCTGATCGACACCGCAACTTCGTTCGTTCGTCCCGTCAGTTGGTATCACAAGAAAAAAATCCAACGGGCAATATACACACGTATAATCACGTGATTATACGTCGAATTTCAGGAACAAGTTTCACTTTGTTATGTATGTTACTAATTATCGCCTTTTTTATGTTAAATGGTGTCCCCAGGGGCTATTATAGGGCTAAATTGGTCAAACCATTTCAATCCCTCAATTATAAAAACACGATAAGGTTAATGATAACGCAATCGTTATAAACGTTACAAACAATTTATCTCAGATAATAAGTAATAAACGCACGAAAGTAGTTCTCTCCACTTTCACCTCGTTATTATAGCACATATTATAGCTTTCGTAGAAATTTATGAAACTACAGCTATATAGGTAAATGATAAAAATAAACCAATTTCCAATCGATTAAACAAATGGAACCACTTAGACGAAGTTATCCATCTACATACAAAACAAGTACGGCACACGTCTACCAGGCAAACAACAAAGGGTGGCAGTTGGGCCTAATAGTCGAGGTATTTGTTCAGTATTTGTTGATCGACCCCTCAACCTACTACCCTGCCACCGTCTTACTTGATAATTCTTTGAAACAAAAATATCCTAAACTGTAAATACGTTCCCTGATTTGAAAAATGTGAACAATGTGAAAACTACTTAGGTACATTATCGTACATCACTTAGTTGGGATACCTAGGCACTATTAAAAGGTGACGAATTAAAAATCTTTAAGGCAAATTTCCATAACACAACTGCTTTAGTTACTTACTTTCAGATCAGAGCGACAACGTATGTGATGTTGTTTAATATTTTATTATTTCAATTTTTTTTTTATTTCCTAGTTATATGTATATTTTGTTGCCGATACTAAAATACTATATATGTATAGCTTAACCAAGTCTACCACGAACTTTCATGTGGTCAAGTGAGTAATGCTCCCAGTGACTAGATAGATATACCTATTAATAAAAAATGTAATTCTCAATTTTTTGTTCACTACAAACTCTTAATATACTTACTTACGTGTGTTACTAATATCGAATAAATGAGTGAATTGAAATTTCAGACTATAACAACATAATATTCCGTCATGTACGCACAGTACCTCATGGTACTTAATCTAATGAAACAAAAAAACCTAGATTGTGGACGTTCTACAGGCAATATTTTCAGCGAGTGTCATTGTGACACGGTATTCTTAAAATAATCTTCAAAGAAATCGTGAATAGCGAAATCGTTCCACCTACCTATTGCCAAACGGTCGGTGTTGGCCTGCCGAATGTCGAAGTTTCTTAAATGGGTCACTGGATGTCATGCACTTACACAAATCGATGCAAACTCACGACCTTCTAGAATATCTACAGCTTCTGGAGTGCGTCTTTGGTCTAATCTCTATATATTATACTTTATCACAGTTTATCACAACAGGTGCAACTTCTTGTCCCATTACGTGGTATCGCCCGATCCTTAGTCTTCATTAACGATATAAGTTTATTGCTTTTAAATTTATGAATGAATGTTTACCTCCCTCAAGCGACCTTGAGGAGGGCGGTAGGAGGGCATATCCTTTGTTCCTTCCCAGCTATCGATTCAAGTACCATGTGCTCCCGCGCTACTGTCGGTCCACCAGCACTTCCTTGGGTTGGGGTGATGCGGAAGAATCACAGGTAGTTGGAGCAGAATACTAGAAAGAATTATTGGGTACTTGGTTGTGCCGTACTGACAGGTAAAGAGATCGGTGACAGGGTATACCGGGTAGTCCAGGTACTGCGATCGAAGCAGCGCTACGGAGCGCGATCGGCGGTCGGCGGCGGTCGGTAGACGACAGGCGACGAGCTACGAAGTTCGGAAAGGGCGGCGCGGAGCGCGCGGGCGCGGACTTCCCGAGACTGCCGATTGTGCGCTGCCGCTATTTGCGCCCGCTCGCGGCCGCCCGCTGCCGCCCGCCGCGCCGCCCGCCCCGTACGCAACCGCCCGCCCAGAGCTTTCTCTGCGCAGCATATCAACAAAAGCTTTCAGCTGCCACTGAGTAATGTATTGTACATTTCGTTTAAAATAGCACAACTTGACCCATCTAAGACATCTTAGATACATATATAGCAGCAAAACAATATTAATTAGGTAAGGTGACGCATACACTTTTAGGTTTTATTTGCCTAGAACAAAAGTTAGAATGTTTGGTCCTTTACTTTAATTTTAATACGTTGAAATGTACTTACCTCGTACTATAAAAAAGAAATTACCCATATGTACAGTTTAACGATTCCTAAGCAGGCTGATAGAAACAACAATATTCATACGGTGCCTTCGTTTCAATACGAATATTCAGATAGAAGAAAGAAATTGTTTCTCAGAAGAAGGGAAAATTTAACGTACGACAAAATGAATCTACCTCTATACTCAAAATATGGATTAAAACGATAAGTGCCACGTTAGTAAAAACAGCGACTACAAACTATATTTTCGTCAGAGGATCCTAACTACTTTAGAAGCTTTAAAAAGCGCGCGATTATAAACTGCCATCACTTAAATTTCAGCTAGAAGTTGATTATTTATAAGCATTTATTTTCTGTAGGTGTAAGTGAAAGAGTGGACGATTATACGCTACTATTACTTCCTTATTTATTTCTATAAATGTGTATTATTAAACTGTAACTATGATAAATTTTAATAATTATAAAAACAAAAGAAAGCTGCTCTCCAATTATTTTAATCAATTTACTAACCATTACATAATTTCAGATTCGGATGCCCGTACTCCGAATCTGGCTCTCTATTATGTTATAAATATTACACATAGGTCAATGATATTATTTGATAGGTCCATGATATTATACAATACAATACTTTTACTGGATATTTAATTGTTGATCATAGAATAATATTACTCCAAGAAGTAACAGTTGCCTACAATAAAAGCCACCACTTAAAATTTACTTTGCTTTCTTAGTAGGTCAATGTCTTTCTACATGGACGAACGAATATATGCACCTTACCTTTGAAACTTCTGAAAAATTATTAAAAAGACTACTCCTGTATTATATATACATTCCTATTTGTATCCATTTTAAAAATGTATGCAATGATCTTAATAGAAGATAATTGAGTGTATATATATTATAATTTACGTGTATATATTATATTGATGAATTATACATAAAATATGGCAATACTTAGCTAATGTTACACATGGATAGGTGTGTACGTACTACGATAACATGTTTTTTTCATATGGCCTTACGTAGAGCATTTAACCAATGTCAAAGTTAGGGAAACAAGGATATGGGAAAAACAGAACGGACCGGATTTTGGAATAGGAAAAGGGATGTGGTTTTATAACGGCACATGGCTAGTGCTGACCCTAAAACCTTTCTATCGAACCAATATCAAAGTTTTCTTTGTTGTTTTTTAATAATAATAAGTATTCATTTCTTAGGATACGAGACGTCACAATTATGAGTTGTTATGTTATATTATGATTAATAGCAGTAAAGCTCCTCGTGAAAGAGTTCGTCCAGAGTAGTACTGCCACCTTACCTATGTCTGCCAAGCAGTAATGTGTACATTTCTGCGTTCCGGTTTTGAAGGGTAAGGGTGCTGGTGAAATTACAGGCGCATGGAACTTGTCAACTTATGTCTCAGGGTGACGGGTGCAGTGGTAGTGTTGCAATTTAAAGCTCTTCTGAGTGGCACTGTAAGTGTTAAGGACAGGCATGTAGTTTACCATCAGGCGCACGACTTGTTCGTCCCTTCACTTATGTTATGAAAAAATTAACAATGGCTGTCATGATGATCTCCACTCCATGTTTTAAGTCTGTTAGACGAAGGAATCCCTTTTGAATGTAATTCATAATATTTCTTTTTCTTTATTTAATATTAATTGTAAATAATTTGGGATGATGTCATTTTACACAGTAAGCCGGCTTTCGGGCAGGTCTTGTTTCCTTGACATCATTGATTGCATACAATACTATTTCAGTTTGAGTGTGTTCGAAACATCGTAGATTTAAATCTATTTTTGTGTGTTTTCCTTGCATGTTATGGCAACTATAGGTAGTGCTTTTTAGAATTAAAACGCGAAATTATACGAATCTCGAACTAAAATACCTGTATCGGCCCGTTCTAAGGAATCCCGAGTCAATCCAAGCACGCCGCCTCAAATTGCCTATCCTCTTTGTGGCGGCCATATTTACAGAAACATAATTCAACTTCATGGTACCAAAAAAGAATATTGTACCAAGACTTGGCTGTATGGTGTAAAACCTTTGCCTTTTCCTTTATGGAAAGAAGAAAAAAAACAGAATGACAGAATCGTGACAGAATGCACATTCGTTACGTTTCCGCCACTCCATCGATGACAGATATAAAGTTTTTCAGTACAATTTTGCCAAAAGCGCGGTCGATCGATCCGTATCGGCGTAAATGATTTTTCCATTTAGTTAGTATCACTTTTTGTAATTCATACTTCCAGGTAACACTTTACGTATTTCTATTCCAACATGGCACACTGGAAACTTTGTCGCCTTAATTACGGCACAGAAAAGTTTGATATGTTCGAAGGCGAGGATGTTACGGTTGGAAGAGGAGTTCATAACACGATAGTGCTCTCCAGCATTGTAATTTCAAGGAACCACTGTGTCATCAATGTGCAGAGAAACCAACTTATTATTACTGATTTGCAGGTAAACTTTAATTGACGATCCATTGTTGAATTGTTAAACCGTACTTGGAACGATTTAACCATAGCTTGGTCTTCCGTTTACTAAATGTTACGGCGTCAATATTATCTTTGAAGAAATATTACCAGGTACAGGGCTCACGCATTAGTACGAGTTTTGATTGTAATTGATTCCCAAGTATCAAGGAGCAAAACATGCATTAATCTTTTATTTTTATTGCTAAGTTAGATTTACATTGACCATTTCTTGATGAGCTATGTAAAAGCAATAACAAATTTTACAAAATATGCTTATTCGCTGTAAGTACATTACAGTTATTAAAATATAATGCAAAATCATAAGTTTGGTAAATGACAGTAAATTGTTGTAAGCATTCTATTTAATTTTATCATGATGAGCTAACAAATCTGAATTCTCAATGAAAAACATACTAACATGAATTACTTGAATATTTAATTTTGTTGAGCACTTTGTACGGTTTGTTACAAATTAAAGGTAAGTTGTCTTTTTCTTGTGTAATTTATATTATTTATTTGTTATAATTACATCAGGGTACTCAGACCTACATAATATCTAAATTAAAGACTAAAATACATCTAGTAAAATATAAGAAATAAAAACTAATGTACTCAAATTGCACTGTTGGCGATATATGGCACGATCTGGTGTCAGGTAACCAGTCACGGAATTGCCGATATATAACTTAATTCAACCAAAACTCCTTCATAAAGGGTGACAGATGTCCTATTGGCACTCTCACCATAAAGAAATGAAAATTCACATTATGGCAGGACTCCGAATGCTTGACTCTCAGGACGCATTTGGTTTTTAGTCTACTGTACTTCACTGTCACTTCAGACTTCTTGGAGCATTGCAGTTGCTTCAGCAGCATGATTAGTATGGCCGGACGCAGTAGAGAGTTTAGTCATAGTCATATATTAAATTGTCCCCTAGACTAGTATTGTCACATAGTTAATTTATGTACATTTCATACTTATGTCAAATAATAATAATAACAATAATAACTACAACTTTATAATTAAAGTCCAGGAAATAACATTATATTTCATGCTTAAGTCAAAAATAATGATAATCTACAAATGATGTAGGCTTTACAGTGTAAACAATATTAAATTTGATGCCAATAAATAAATATATATATATATATTATTATTATCAGTAAAAAGTGGTTTAATTTATAAAAAGCGTTTTCTGCAAGGTACTTTTTAAGAAAGTTTTTAAACTTTTCTGTTTTTTCATTTATGTGGTTGGGTACAGCATTAAATATTTGAATTGCCATTAAATGGGGCCCTGACCTGTACAAACTTAGAGGAGAGCATAGAGAACGGCAATCCTGTGGCACAAAATGTGATATAAATTTACACTAGCTAATTTAAAATATTTTGTGTTAAACTTAAATTCTATTTGTAAAGAAATACAACTTTAATCAAATCATTTAAAATGTTGAGCTTCCATCCATGTATGATGTACTGATTGTGTTTGCAGTTATGTTATTACACACAGCCAAATTAATATAAATGTGATTAAAGCTACAAGTCATTTACTATTGTTGCTATTATGATATTGCAGATGGTCTCTGTAGTCGTTTTTTGATTTACTTTTTCTGATTTCTTGGATTCTTTATAGATAGGTAACTAATAATAGCTATTTATACTTACTTAATATTTTTACTCACCAATATGTAAAAAGTAAATGCTGTGAATAAAACACATTTAAAAGTGACAAATGATGCAATTAGCTTTTATGCTTTTGTGCTAAAAGGTTATTACTTTAAATACAATTTTGATATACCACACTGAAATTCCTTTTTAGGAAATGAAACTCCATCAAGACTAGATTACATAATAAGAAAGTTATGAGCTTCCGAAAATCAAATTTTTCTCAAAACTTGAATTTCTGGCTAGCGTTTTTCACAGAAATTACAGACATACTCTGTAATATTTATTATCTGTAACATGCAAAATGGTACGAGTCTTTCATTTTAAACTTTTTTTCCAGAGTTCCAATGGAATTTATGTCGGTCCAAACAAAATACCTCCAAATAGACCATATACTATAACAGAAACTGATATTATAGGAATTGGATGGACACTGGGAGTGGTTCTCACAGGAACGAATATCCAAGATCATGAAAAGTTTGTGTTTAAGTTAGTCAGGGAAGCACCTAGTCCTCCTGTTATAGACAGAATACAATTCCAAAGTGACAATGAAAATACAAATTTACAATCTCCTATAAGACAGACAAAACATCCACCAAAGAGAAAGGTGGAAGAGGCTGTGTCGGACACAGCGCCAAATGAAGTCATTAAAACTGAAAAACCTGAAGTAAAAAATGGCATAATAGTTATAGACAATGTAATCAACATATTATCAGATAGTGACAATGATAACCAGCTGTATCTAGAAAATGTAGCCAAGAAAACAAAACTCGATTTGTATTGTGAGGAACTTCCAAAAACAAAGGAAGCTATTATCAAGGTTGAGCGGGATGATCTGGAATATGATGCTTTTCAAGTGAAACAAGAGCACCAGGTTTATGCCGATGATCCCATTTATATTGATAGTGATGATAGCCAAGATGAAGAGTCTGTGCAATGGTTGATGAGGCTCTCTCAGAGCTCACCAGGCAAACCTTTCATTAAAATAAAAGAGACCAAAGCTGAAATCCACAATGAGGAAAGCTCGTATAGCCAAATAGAAGATGAAGATATATTTCACCATGACTTGATTTCTATACCATCTCAACCTCAAGAACATTCAGATTCAAAAGTGGATAGTTCTATTAAAGCCACTGCTGCTTCAAGACTACTAAAATTTGATGATGATGATGATGATGATGATGATGATGGATTGTTGAATGACTTGATTTCGCTTGATCACACAGCAAACAATGTACCAACTGTGTCTCCAAATACTGTTCAAACAGAGCAGGATGAAATAGATGGAATGAGCAGTAATTATTTAATTACTGATGCTGTGAGTACCAGTGTGGGCTATCAACAAGATAAAGGGAAAAGAGCACAAATGATTGATCCATTAATTTGTATACCTCGAAAGAAAACTGTCCCACCTGCTATTGTGAGTGAAAGTAAGTATATTAATTAGGACAAAAATTTATATGAAATTGATCTTTTACAGTTCTCCTTGCAGTTGCTCATGGTACTTTTTGTTTCAGGTAAATCTAAGAAAACTTCCTCTAAACACTATAAGGAGGGCTCTAAACACAGTAAAGAGAGAAGGCATTCATCATCGAAAAGACATATCACCAATTCACAAAAAGAGGAGCGCAAAAGGAAACTCAAAGAAATTGCCACAAAGAAAAAAGATCATGCAAATGGAACTGACAAGAGAGTTAATACAGATGCTAAGGATAAAGGAGTTTCCAATGTAAAGTTAACAACCATAAATAGAGGTGCTTTCCTTACTGACGCTGTACAAGTAGTCAAACCAATGAAGGGAAGGGACAGTCCTCAAAAACTAACCAAACCCAAAGAGAGGAGATCATCTCCGAAACCAATTAAACATGATAAAAGTACATCAAAAACAACTGATAGCAAACAAAAGTCAATCTCATTTGACTCTAGAGTACCTCTGAAAAGCTTGAAACCATTATCAGAGAGTGAAGAAAAACCTTTTTCGAAAGTGGAACCTTTACCACCGAAGAAGTCAAAGAAGACTGTTATGTTTTCAACAGAACCGCCTAAAGTCCACGTGTTTCAGATCGAAGAGGGAAACAAAATGAAGAGTACACAGTTAGTGAAGGCGTCATTGGACAATATAGGTATTAGGGCTATGCCATTCTTTTCCTTGGAAAAAGTCACTTTAATGAAAATTCTCCGATGGAACCCTCACTGGCTGGAAGAACAACTCATTAACAATGATCCACCTCCAATTCTTGGACATAGTAACCCACCTATGACCATCTTCCATTCCTTCAACAACCACAAACAATATATACAGTAAGTATTGTATTGAGTCATAATCTAGACGGGGCAATAACGGCTGTTTGTCAAAAATTAATTATACTGCAATGCCATTTTGCAATAACTATTATTGTAAACTAGTCAGATACAACATGACAATGATAGCGAATGAATATTGTGTAGTGATGCCAGGTGGTTACATTTCTTGCATATTTCGTAACTTTTGATCTTCTTGGATAATATGTATATAAGTAATTTTTATTATTAAGGCAGTTTTCTTAACTTTTGAGGAAATTCAACTACTTGGTACTTAGTGTAACGGGCTGGTGTCCGCAACTCGACGTCAAGGCGCCTATTCAACTATATTGTTATTGTAAATCTTTAATAGTTTACGAAAGCACCCAAATTAGACAAAAAGTAATTCAGAGACGGCGCAAACGAAATGAAATCAATCAATAACTGGTTATATAGCTTGACTAAAGCAAGTTACCTTTTTAATTTTTTTTTACAGTTACACTTTTTATTTAAAAAAAAACGAACTTGTAAAATGTAACTTTTGCACCACAAAAATTAATTTTTCTGGTAACGAAATGTAATTTTCGACTTTTTCAAGTGCCCTGGCAACACCACGACAACACTGATTATGTAGCCTGTTATTTGTGGGTCAATCGCGCATAAAGGCTTTAACGCAATGAAATGTTGAACTGTTATAAAGCTATTGTCATTATTGACTATAACAACGAAACAAAAAGGCTGATCGACACCAGTTGTATTTATTTAAATTGATTGATATTAAACTGCCTGTCGATATTAAATATTACAATTGACATATTCCAGTTGCATAAAGCACAAAATAGTAGTTTCAAATATGTGACTTATAACAATAAACAATATAATACAATGACCCATTAACAGTGGTAAAAATTTTTTTCTAGATAGAGGACGTTGGAACCACCCGTTTAAAATAATATTAGTTCCGCGAAAATCAATAGTTTAAAAATTACGACTTTATAATTATTAATACAAAGATCGAACACTCGGAAAAAAATCCTTCGATCCGGCCGGATTCGAACCGACTTCTTCTAGCTTACCGTGCCAGACGCTATACCAACTAAGCCACGGAACG